TTTTTTTTTTTTTTTTTTTTTTTTTTTTTTTTTTTTTTTTGGTTCGACCAACTTTTTCAGTGTAAATATTTCATTAAATTGATCTTGATGATGATGATAATTTTTCTACTTTTCCTCTTTATTTATTTATTTATCTTTTTTTTCTATAATTTGAGTATATAAGAGATGACCTCATCCAAAAGTTTTTTTTTTGTTGAGATCCAACTCTATCTACAGAGACAAATAGGAAAAAAACTAATGTTTGCTATGTTTATATTTTTCGTTCCTGTCCTTTCCTTTTTCATCATCATCATCATCATATTAAATTCAAGAATCCATCAAAGATCGATGAAATAAATAAATAAAAATAAAATAAGTAAACTATAATGTCACGCATTACGATTATCGGCAAACGGAAAAAAAAGTTGAAAAAAACAGAATTGATGGATCATCATCAACATCAGAAAATAAGGGATAGAGTCGAAAAAATATGTCAATTTTTTTTTTGTTTTGTTGTTTTTTGACACTCTCCATCACAACATGATTATCATCATAATAATTTGATGGATCAATAATAAATTATGATAGTGTTTCACGCTCACACGCAAATTATTATTATCATTAGAATTTGAATAGAGATAGACTGATGATTCTGGTCACAATCATGTTGATATTTTAAATGATTAATAAGTTTATTAATTTTTTATTATTATTTTTGGTTGGAGAAAAATAAAATAATTTTGTATCCACCACCACAGCAACAACAAATAATAAACAATAACAAACAAACCAAACCAAGCCAAACAATAATGGTTTGATGAAAGGTGTTAATATATGTTTATTGACATTGATGATGATGGATTTTTTTTTTTTTTTTTTTTTTTTTTTTTTTTTTTTTTTTGTTTTTTTGTTTTGGTTTTTTTTTTTTTTTTTTTTTTTTTTTTTTTTTGGTTCATGATGATGGAAAGAAAATTTTCACCCAAAAATTCCATTTTTTTCTGTTTGGATATCATATTACCGGAATATTTGGGTTTGTTTGTTTTCTTTTGCTCTTGTTGTTATGGTTGTTGACATGAATGATTTTGATGATCCACCAGATTAATAATTGAACTAGCAAACAAACACACTGTATATAATATGACAGCCAAGTATAATCATCAACACCACAATAATAATAATTTTTGTTTGTTGTTGTTGTTGTAAATTATTAATGAAAACTTTTAGAAAATTAAATAACAATTTCATAATAATAATAATAATTGAATTTTTTTTTTCTTCAGCTCTCTAATCCACATCCATCCAAAGAAAAAAATGTTTAGCTTAAATAATCAAAATTATCATCATCATCATCATCCGTGTCATTGTCATTGCCATCATCATCATCATCAACATTATAAATCACAATGTAATTATTGTTTACTTGATCATCTTGATGATAATGTTAATATGGATGATTCGGATTTTGGAAAATCATCATCATCATTCATCAATGGCATCAATGATCAACAACAACAAAAATGTCAATGTTTAACAACAACAACAACAATGGCAACATCCAAGAAAAATGTATCAATCATATCGAACAATCAAAATAAAGATAATCATTTGATTAATAAAATGATGAAATTTAATCAATCAGCAGCAGCAAATAATAATGAAGAAAGTGATGATAACAATAGTTTTGTTCATTATTCTAATTCCATCAATTTATATCGAAATCTTTTAATATTAACATTTTTATCAAGTATATTGTTTGGTATACTACAAAATCTTTTTACAATTGATCATTATATTTATCATTATAGTGAATGGACAACAATTTCATTAGCAATTGGTTTTATGTTCAATGCCCTGTCAGTTTATTATGCACAAATATTTGTTGAATATTTTGGCCTGTATTGTACAATTTTATTTACAATCATATCAATCATTTTATTTATTTTTATTCATTATTTTATTAATAATTTTCTTCTATTTCAATCAACAATTATATTAATGTCATTATTGATTGGTCCATTTTATTCAGCACAATTAGAATTTTTATCAAAATTTTTATCAAATTTAACATCGACAACAACGATTAAACATTATCGTAATGAACATTATCAACGTATTTTCCATTTAATATTATTTTGTCCATCATTTATTGTTGGCCATTTAATTTATGTTATCATTTTTGCCTTAAATACTTCATCATCATCATCAACATCGAAATTGACATCATCATTACATCAAATAAATGGATCAAAATTTCATTATAATAATAATCATGGTAAGATTTTGTAAAATTGAAAAAAAATTCTCTACGTAATTGAATCGAAGCCAAAAAAAGAAATCAAATTGAAAATTGCATTCGATTTTCGTCGGTATTGTTGATGAGAGTGAGAGAGAGAAATAGATGAAAAGCATCTAATAAAATGTTCAAATTCACACACTGTTGGCGGTCCTGAAAAAAATCATCAATTGGATCATCGTTTATATAATTCCCAAATGGAATCATTTTTGTTCCATTAAAAAAATAATAAGAAAAGAAAAACCGTAAACGAAAGTATAAAAAAAATTTCAAACATATTAAAAGGCCGTCTTGCATCACAAAAGAAATGAAAAAAAAACAGTAATGTTTCTCACTTTTCATTCATTTTGTTGAATTTTTTTTTCTTGAAAGCAGAAATTTTCCCGAAAAAATTGTTTAATGATACTTATTATTAGCCAGAATGATAGATAGACATTTTCCATATTAAGATTAATTGATTATATTCTATTTGTGTGTGCATCTTAACACACAAATCTTTCTATTGAATTAATTTTTATTATTATTATTATTATTAACCATTTGTCATTGAATCGTGATTTGAGTGATAACCAAAAAAAAAAAAATTCCAATAAAAAACAGAAAAAAGATACAGACAGACAGTGAATGTGAATATCAGTGAAATGAAAATCTTATTAGAATTAATAGATTTTTGAGAAAGTGAAATTCAAATTTGATTTTCTAGTTTCTAGTTTTTTTGTTTTGTTTTGTTTAGTATTCTATTCATGCATCTTTTCTTTTTCTATTCTTTTTGATCATCACAATCATGATGATGATGATCACAAGTTGGGCAATTGAAGAATTTATTTTCTTTCCAAAAAAAGAAAAAAATAGAGTAAAAAAAACGAAAGTGAAAAAAAACAGTGAATGTTCATCATAACAACAATGATATCATCATCATTATTCTAGTCGATATTTTAGTAAAATAATTGTGAAATTTATCCGATTAATCTATAATGCCAATCAACATTTGGTATCATTATTGAGTGAATAAAGACAATTATTTTCCGAACGGAACAAAAAAGAGAAGAATTGTTTTTATTTCCGAAAAATAAAATTGATACGGATGATGCAATGAAAATGAAAAAAATAAAACGAACAAAAGAGGATTATATAATTAAACAAAGTGAACATCGACAACAACAACAACAACAAAAAGTGATTATTATTCAATGCCGGAGAATTTCGATTCCAAGAATTCACAGAATTTTTCTGTTTTTCTGTTTTTTGTTTTGGTTCCGAATTCTTTATTCTTTCTCTCTTTTAAATTGTTTTATTGACAAATTATCATCATTGTGATTTGGAATTTTTTTTCTTCTAATCTTTTGTCAACTTTTGTAATGAGACAAAAAAGGGTTCATTAAAATTAATTAATTAATTTTGTTTTATTCCGTTGATCAACAGAATCATCGACATGGACATTATCATCATCAACATCGATAAAACCTATTTGTTTACATTTATTTCGTCAACAATATTGTGATCATGCATTTTATTATATTTTTTCCAATCATCATCATCATAATATTCGTTTATCATCATCATCTAGTGATGCTAATCATCATTCGAAATCTGTATCAAATCAATTTGATAATGATTTTATCAAAATTCTTATAACAATTTTTATTATAATTTCATTGATAATTTTATCGATAGTTATTGTTTTATTGAATCGTATTGATCAACAACAACGACGAAAAGATTCATTCATTGAACATTCTAATAATCATTCGTCATATTCAATTCGTAACAACATTATATTTCGTACATTTCGTGATAATCATTTACGTTTATTATTACCGATGGCATTTTTTATTGGTTTTGAACAAGGATTTTTTATGGCCGATTATAATAAGGTTTGTTTTTTTTTGCCTGAATTTGTGAATTTCATTTTTTTTAAAATGATAAATATAGCTTTATGTAAGCTGTGCCTTAGGTTTAAAATCAATCGGTTCAATCATGTTGATTCGTGGATTAATTCATTTGGGTTCAACATTATTAATTCTTGAATTTATTCATCATATACAACGACCAATAATTCTATTAGCTGGTACTGTTTGTCAATTATCAGTATTAACAATACTTTATTTATGGCATCCAAATGATGATATACCATTATATTATGTAATTACAATTACATATTCATTAGCCAATGCTATTATGGAAACATTATTATTAAGTAAGTACAAAAAACAAACAAAATTTTCCATTTAAAGAGGTCTATATCCGAAAAAAAGAGAGAATTTTAAAAAAAATTGATTGATTTTTATATAGAATAAGAAAAATCATCAATTTTTTTATCCAGAAAAAAAACCGGATGAACCCAAAAAAACGAAAACTGACGATAATTATAATGATGATGATGATAATCATTTCTTTTTCTCCCATAAGAAAACGACGAGAAAAAAATCTATTATCATCATCATCATTATCATTAAATTCTGATAATAAATTGAACTAAATTAAAATTAATGCCATGTTTGGAATTTTGTTGTTGTTGTTGTTATCATTTCATCCCTTAAATCTTCCATGTTTTTTTTTCTTCCTTAAAATGGATTTTTTGTTTGCCCTTTATTCTGGTTGAATCATTTCAACAACAACAACAAACAACAAACAAACCATACAAAACAGAGCAGAATAAAAGTTGAGCAAAGTTTCTTGTTTCACACTTTTTCATCACTCACATGAATCTTGATGATGATGATGATGGATAAGTAGAATGAAAAAAAGAACGCAAACATCATTTATGGATGGATAAACATCAAGAGTAAAAAAGCAAGATAATGGAAGAAACCGAAGATAATAAGCAATCCAGAAACAAAACGAAAAAAAAATTCAAAAATCGATATTTTATTTCAACCAAAGATGATTCATTTGAATTTCTTTGACTAATTTTACTTTCAAACATACCACCTACACACACATCAAATGACATTTCTATTTTGTTTCGTGTGTTTGTTTTTCTTATTTCGGATATTACAATTTCTATTCATGTTTTTCTTTTCCCTATATTCAGGAAATGAATGAATTTGAAAATTCATTTCAACCAAAGAAAAATAACTTTTATCGTATAAATATTTTTGATAATTTTATACAATGTAACAGAAAAAATATACTTTCATCGTCTTAATAAGAAGAAAAAAAATATATTCTTAACATTCGAATCAATTTTTGTATACATTAACTTCATGCAGATAAAAAAAAATTATTGTTGTTGGTGATGGAAAAGAAACAAATTTATTGAACAAATATTGATTCAATGTCATCTAATCGATTTTTTTTTCTTCTTCTTCTTCTTTGTTGTTATTGTCATTCATGTATGTTTGTTTGTTGACTATGAAAGTAACAACAAGAAAAAAAAACGATGATGATGATGATGATGATGATGAACGAAACATGAAATTTTGTTTTTCTTTTCTTCTGTCCAAAAGAAATAAAGGAAAAACATTTTTCAACAACATTTTAACCCGCATCATCATCATCATCATCAAAAGTTGCCTTTAGGCTTTTGGTTTTTTTTCTGACATCATTTTTCCATTATCATCCAAAAAAAGAATCTTGACGAAAAAAAAACGAAAGGTTGAATAAATTTGGTTCTGGCGCAATGAATGTTTGTCGTCACCATAAAGATGATGAAATCGATAGTGGAAATGGTGATGGTGATGGTGGTCAGAATTCAAAAATTGTTTTAAAATCAATTCTTAAATCGACAGCAGCAACAACAACAACAACAAACGAAGAAATAATGGAAATACCAACATCAATAACTTTAGAAAAATTTGGTCATTCTATTTCAACAATTCGACAATATTTTCCTGAATTATTTCATCAACAACAACAAGATTCGACATGTACGAATGTTGACAATTTGGATCAAAATAGTCAGAATCTAAATCAACAACAACAACAACAACAACATTCGAATCGAATGTTGGAAAATGATGAAAAAATTTCTAATCAACAATCAAATCGAAAAAAATTTCGTGTAAAATTTTTGGAACAAAATCCCGATGACGATGGTAACGATAATAACGATGACGGCGACGACGACGATGATGAACATCATACATCAGCGGCAAAAATATTGATGAATAAATATCCAAATTCGAATGATGATGATCATTTTAATCATTTCTGTTGTTTTTCATCATCATGGTTGTTATCATTATCAAATTTTTTATCAAAATTTTTCATTCAATATTGTTGTTGTTGTTCACATTGTTATTATTTTCAAAACAATCATAATTTTAATCAACAACAACAACAAGAACAATCAATGGTAATGTTGAAAAATATTACCGAATTGATTGAAAATAATAATAATAATCATTATAATCATCAAAATGTTGATGATTATAATTTATATTGTACAAAAGAAAATTCAACATTACGTTATGATGGTCATCTTGATGTACCACCTTGTATTATTTGATATTAATAATAATTGTATTTTTGTGTGTTTCACTCAATAACTTGGTCTAATTGCAAAATTGAATCAAATTTTATCCATGTTTTTAATCATTCAAAATGTTAATTATTGAATTTTGTTTTGTTTTGTTTTTTCTCTCCAATTTCCCCCGTCCCACCAATCATTCATTCAATCAATCAATCAATCAATCGAAATCGATCATCATCATCATTTTTGTTTACAAAGCAAATGTTTTACGAACATTTTGTCCGGATGAATGGAAATATTCATTTCTTACCATATATTCAATGAATAATTTAGGTTTAGCAATTGCATTTGCAATAAGTGAATTTATTTGTCTTTATATAAAAATCTATTCATTAATAATCATATTGATTTTTGCCTGTATACCAATGCAATTATGTGAATTACGTTTGATGAAATTTGAAAAAATTCTTGGCCCCGGTTCACAATCACAATTATGACTATTAATGGCCAACGATAATGATGATGTTAATGATGATGATTTTGATCAACAAACACCCGACATCCATAATATCGATGATGATAATCAATTACGAAATAATTATCAACCGACCAATCAAAATTATGATCATTTCGAAATGATTCAATTGAATATCCAACAATCAAATGATAATGTTCAACGTTATTAACGTAAACAACGGATAACAATCAACGAAAGAAGAAATTTTGCCATTCCATTTTTCACCATTCTGTAAACACAAACAAACAAAAAACGCACAATAATTTCTCAATCTGTTTGTCCAGTTTGTCTATATTTCACTGTGTGTGTGTGTGTGTGATACATATCGAAAATGAAATAAAATAAATTTTTTTTCTCAACGAAAAAAAATTATGTTTTTGAAACAAAACAGAAAAAGAACGAACTAATTAATTGATTACTTAAGTTTGGAAAAAGTGAAAAGAATTTTCTGTGAAAAAAAAACCAAACAAACGAATTGAGTCAATTAAACGAAAAAACATTCTTGAAATTCTGTAAATTTTATAAGGAATTTTTTCTTTTTCTTTTTTTTCTTGTTTGATGTTTGTTTTAAGGAATTTTGTTTTAAGGAATTCCATTAATTCCATTAAAGAATCCTTATAGTGCCAATCATTAACAAGGCTGTTTGTTTTTTGTTTTTGCTTTTCGCAATTGGCAACGAAAAAAGAAAAAAAAACGGGAAAAATTATTCAATTCTTTTAACGGGAATTTTCTTTTTTCTTTTCTTTGAAATACGATATTCTTCTTTATATTCATCGATAGTACACAGTATTCTGGACAGACAAAAAGAATAACTGAAAGTTATTCTTATAGCAACCAACCAACCAACAACAATGAAGATGACAAACCAGACCAGCAAAAAAAACTATTTTCTGGAATTGAAATCGAGAATATGAACCAACAACAACAATGATGATGATGATGTGATGATAATAAATATTCTGTTGTTGTTGTTTTTTTTTGCATTTCTCGAACACAGAATTCAAAAAATTCAAAGAGAGAGAGAATTTTTTTGTAAATAAAATTTCCGGAATTGACTATTGCCACTTCAATTGGCTCACTGCTATGAATATAGAATTCCCTTAACAACAACAACGAACGTTCGATTGTTCGAATGTTCGAATGTTGATGAAGGCGCAAATGATGAAAATGGATCGAATTTGAATTTGAATGTGATTTTTTTTTTCGTTTTCGTTTTTGTGAATTTAAATTTAAAATTTTTTTCAAAAGAAGAAACGACAACAACAACAACGACGAAGACGAAGAAAATAAAACATTTGTTGTTGTCATTGTACATTTTTTTTCTCATTCCCACTATTCTATACACAAATTGCTGATTGACAATTTTTTTTTGTTTGGTTGGAATAAAATTTTTCAACAAAAAAAAAATTTTTTTGGTTTTGTCATTTGGCCATTATTGTTGTTCCATTCATTTATTCATTGAAAAAAGATATCGATCGATCGATACTCAAAAAGATTTTGTTGGCAAGTTTTCGCTTTCCAATTCGGTTCACTTCGATCGTCGTCGTCTTGGTCGTTTTATTTAATTCGAAGATTTTTTTTTTCAATGAAAAAAAAAGTTTCACGCTTCCCAAAGATTCATTTTTTTTATTATTAACGCTATCCACGATTATTAGGATCTCATTTGTCTTCTGGAGGGGGGGAGCTCTAATTTTGTTAAATTCTGGAGATTTCTGAAGTGAAAAAGAAGAAAAGAATCTTCTGGTTTTTTTTGATATCCTTAAATAACAATGATACATTAATAATCATAATGAATTCTCATTTCGAATGATAAATCGTTTTCATGTTAAAGACCATCATCATCATCGTTGTCGTGGTTCTGTTTCAATGAAAAAATCAATTCAAAAACACAAAAATTGTCATCATATTCGGGCATCATCATGTCAAAACGAGTGAAAAAAAGCCAGATTTATTCATTTATGAAACGACGAGAACGAAAACGAAAAACAATTTATTAAATGGATCATCATCAGCGGCGGCATACAAAAAAAACTTTTCACTTCTGTTTCGAAACATTTTTTTCCCCATAGAAACCAGAAATTAGATTAAATCGAAATCTCTCTCCTCGCCGTTCGATCAAGCCGACACTGACCAGAGACAAAATTTTTTTCCCCCCTGAAACAAACCGACCGAAATGGAAAAGGATTATCATAAAAAAGCAGTGAACAAAAAAAACGGAAGGAAGGAAATGAGTGATGATGATAAACACAGTGACCAATTTTTGTTGTTGAAAAATTCAGCTTTTTTGAACACCGAAAAGAACCAAAAAAATTCCATAGAAATTAAAAATCAAACAAAAAAAATAAACAGAAAAATAAACGAACAAAAATCATCACAGATATTTTTTTTTTTTTGACCAAAAAAACATTCGAATCGGCTATTATCACCCAAAATGTGTCTGTTTGTGTGTATGTGGGTAGGTAAGTTTAATCATAATCTTTCGTGACTAGATTTTGGTTTCTTTTTTTGCAAATCAATTCCTGGTTCAATTCGATTATCATTATCATTCCATTAGATGATTATTATTCGATTCCATTGATGCCATCGATCTTGATATTGATGATGTCGATGTGGTTGTTCGATGTTGATCATCCATTGGAATAAATATTGGATGTTCAGATTTGATTGATGTCGATGTTGTTGATGATGATGATGATGATGATGGTGGTGGTAGAAAACCTTTACAAATTTTATTCACTTCATCCGGTAAATGATTATGCCATGATTTTAGATAATAACGTGTATATTTTCTTAATTGTCGAAATTTACAAAACATTGCCGAATTATTAGCATCGCTTATTTGTTTTGTCTAAACGGGTTGGGTAGAAATAGAAAAGAATTTAAAAGATCAACAAAAGATTCGAAAATGTATAACATTTTACCTTTACAAGAAAACCATTCTGTTTGAATGCATCTTCCAAATGACGTCTTATCTGATTACGATGATATAAACGGCTACGTGGAATTGTATTCATCAACGATGTCGATGTCGATTGATGGCCACGTTGACGATAATTATTATCCAAATTATATGGTTCAAGATTTTTATTTAAATCAAATTTAAAATGCATTCGTAAATTATGATCATCATGATCATTATCATTAAATGTATCGGACATTAATTGAAATATATCAACATTATCGGTAAATTTATTATTAATCATTTTTACTTCATTTTTTAATTGTTTTAATTTTCTATCAATTTTCCTATCAAATTCATCATTATCATCATCATCATCATTCGAAAATGGTTGTTTTTTGCTCAACAATGATTCTGTATCCATAAACGACGACGACGACGACGATGTTGTTTTACTTTCCGAATTATTCAGAAATTTTTGTATCTCTTCTTCTAATAATGTATCGAATAAATCGATTGATGATTTTCGTTGATGATAATTGGATGGTTTTAATTCTAAATGATGATGATCAAACGATGATGACGAAGATGATGGTAAAGAGATTCGATGATCATCATCCAATAATGGTATCGGTTGTTTAAATACAAATGGATTTGTTGTTGTTGTTAGTGATGGACGATTCAACAACGATATATCATTATCATTATCAACAATCGATGGTGAACAACATTTAATCGATGATAATAATGTTGATGGACTTTGACATAAATCATTTCGTATTTGTTGTTGTTGTTGTTCATTATCACATCTTGGATTGAGATCTTTCATCACCTGATGATTATCATCAATATCGATAATCGATTCTGTATGATGTTTTTTCTTCAATGATAAATCCAATGGTTGTTCCGTTTGTTGTTGTTGTTCATCATTGAAAATATTTTCCAATTTTTGTTGAATTTTTCTACGATATGTTCGATAAAATAAATCATCATCATCATCATCATCGTCATCATCATCATCAAAATCATCCGAATCAACGGCCGAATCAATATCATCATCTGCATCGTTGTCAACGATAATTGGATGATGAATTTTTCTTCTTTGAATTGGATTATTGTTACCATAATGATTTTTTCTACGAAAATGAAAACAATTTTCATTCAATTGTAGATTATCTAATGAAAAATTAATATTATTTGCTGCAGCCGATGATGATGATTGTGATGTTGCTGCTGATAATGATGTGGATGTTGTTGCAATCGATGAACCACTATATTTATAAACATCATTATAATCAAAATTACTTCCTGATGATGATAATAACGATGAGCTATTATTATTATTATTATGAAAAGAAGAATGACCACTTGAACAGAAACTATTTTCACTACCCAATATTGGATGAGGTAGAAATTGTTGTTGTTGTTTTCGAATGAATTCTGTATTCGATTTTTGTTGTTGTTGTTGTTGTTCATGTTGTTGTTTGTCGATATTTTTTATCAAAGGAAATGATAATGAAGATTGAAGAATTCCTTCGTTGATAATCGATCGACCATCATCATCAGCTTTATCCTCTCTTTGGTTGTTATTGTTGTCTATGATTGATGATGGAATAAATTTTAATTTTTCACTTTTAATCAATTTTGAATCCGAATCACATTGTCGAAGATTTATTGTTGTTGATGATGATGATTGTTGTTGTTGTTGTTTTGATGGTTGTTGTTGTTGTTGTTGTTGTTGATTATTTTTATCATCATCCGTTGATTTCCAATGTAAAACAGTTATTTTTTTATTACCATGTTGTTCTTCTAAACAAAATTTTTGATTTGTTTCATTAAAAACAAAATTATGAAATTTAAAATTATTATGAGATCGATTATAATTACGACGATTAGTCGTTGATGATGATGATGAAGATGGTGATGTTGGTTGTCGATGATGATGATTATTATTATTTTGATTTGATCGTTGCATTTTGTTTGTTTGAATCAAAACGAGAAAAAATTAATTAATCAATCACAAATGGCGAACCGAAAGAGGTAATCTTTTCATATTTTGTTGAAAACTTTTTTTTTTAAAAAAATTTTTGTTTTTGGTTTCTCTACTTTTAAACTAGCCAAATTAAGAGAGGATGATGATCATCATTTTAACCAAATATGGAAATTACAACAGCAGCAAAACGCACCGTGTGTACATGTAACAAACCGGTGGCAATTTGAAAAACGAAAGAATGTCATGTGATCATCAAATGTTGAACAAATCATATGATGATGTTCACTGTTTTTTGGTTGCTTAAATGATCAAAATATCGATTTGACAAGAATTCAATAATATTTGTTGATTGAAATTATCTAATGAACAAACGAAAACATCAACAAGTTATCATCACGTGACAACCACATTAACAGCAAGAAAAGAAAATCTTACCTTGAATTTTTTTCAATCAAATCTTTTCAATTATTGAATCTTGTTTGGTTTTTTCGTTTGCAAAAAAGAAAAATATTCTTTGAAATTATTTAATTTCTGGACAGCAAAGAAGAAAAAGAATACCGGCTATGATGACTCAGTCAGTCAAACATTCGAATGTTTTGTTTTTTTTTCGTTCTTACGGAATAATCATCATTATCGTTTATCATTCGGCAAAAAAGTTTTTTTTTACTGGTTTTTTCATCATCATCACAAAGTGAAATTGAAAACTAAAATGAAAATGAAAGAAAAAAATGGCGTGGGTTTTCTTCATTTCATCGATGGTGATGATGATTCTTTGTTCAAAAACTTCTACACCTTTCTTTCTTTCTTTCTTTGAAAGAAAAAACACAGAACATTTTCTTCTTCGTTTCGTTTCGTTTTCTTGGCTAAATGACAACAACATTAACAAAAATAACAATCATTTTCGGCAGATGATGATCGAAAGAAAGAAAGAAAATCGCATTTGTTTGATTGCGTATTTTTTTCCGTTGTTATTGTTGTTGCATTTTGCTGAAACGCACATTGGGTAATGGTGGTTGGTTGGTTAATTATGATAATTATGAAAGTAAAGTAAAATTCAATTAACAAACGAAATGAATGAATTGAACCTGGCTAACTGACTAACTGAATGATGATGATTTCAAACGAAAAAAAAAATTGCATCCTTTTCTCTTTCGGTTACTTGGCATCAGTTTTTTTTTCTTCTTTCATGCAATTGGATGCAACCAGAGAAAAAAAAATTCTTTTTTGTGTTTATTAAAAAAAGAGAAAAAGAATATTCTTTTTTTTTACAGAATAGAGATGATGATGATCATCAAGTTGTCAAGCAACCGAATCGAATCGTGGATGGAATAATTTTACATTGAAAATATGAATATGAATGGCCTTGAATGGTAAACAAACGATATCTAATTCCTAATTGGATTAATTTTTTTTTTCTTCAGTTTTTTTCAAATTATGTTGCAAACATTTAACGAACAAACGATGCTTAATGCCATGGCCAATTATTGCCAAGTACACCCGGCGGGAAAGCGGGGATGCGGCTGGTGGTTGAGAGTAGAGGTATTGCGGGAAAATAGATCGGATTTTTTTCTTCGGTAATGAAATGAATTTCAAGAGCAAAAAATTTCACTTAAAAATTTTTGATGCAATCGACAATTTCTGTCAAAATAGTTGAATGTTACGTCATCATCATCATCATTTTCCGTTGTTGAATTTTGGTCAAAAATTTTTCCAATTCAAAAACCAAATGAAACGCATCAATCAATCGAATAACAATTACAGTTTGATTTTCCCTTTCCATTTCACCATCATTACCATATTTAGATGAATTTGAATTTCACAGAATTCGGTTATTCTGCTCATTATCTTCCTACATGTGTGTGTTTGAATAAGGAATATTCTTTTCTTTTCATTTGTTGCCAAAAAAAAACCCGAATTCTGTTTATGAATTCTCCATTGATGCCATTTTTTTCATCATTGCTAAATTTAGATGTGTGTGTGTGTTTTGTTTTGTTGAGAAACAAAACAAAAGACAATAGCCTGATGATAATTGTTGATGGATGGATTTAAATTGATTTTGAAAAATTGAAATTTTCAATTGCTATATCGACTGCGGTGGGGTTGTACAAGCATTAACGTTCGAAAAGATCGGAAAAGGTGGAAATAGAATCGAATGAAAATGAAAAACAAATCGAATGTTTCGTTCTGAATGATTATTTTGACATTAACAACCTGGGAGAAAAAAAGAATCAACGACAACATCGACGATGATGGCATTAATCAAAATTATAAATCATCAACATCATCATCATGATTATCATAATCAGAATTCAATTTCTTTCTTCCTTTTTTTTTGCATAATTTCTCTCTGCTCACTCCTTCCATGAATTACAAATTATAATTAATAATTACAATGTGTATAATTACCCAAGAGAGACTCTAAAACAAAAGCAAATTCTTTTCAATGAAAAAAATGATTGTTGTTGTTGTTGTTTTTTGCCCACAAAATTCAAAAAAGAATTTTTTTCTCACAGAATCGGCTCAGTAATTAGTGTCTGTTGTCGAAATAGTTGGTTTTGAAATGTTTGGATTCGATTCCTGTTTTTAGTGCGATGTTTTTTTCCGAGTTTAATGAGAATTTGATTAATATAAATTGTTACCGTTTTTTCTTTTCTCTTCCTTCCATCACACCATCACAATTTAAATGATGAATGAATTTTTTTTCTCTCTCTTTATTTGATTGAAAATTAAAGCCAAGAATTTTTTCCTACGGCAAATGTTTTTCAACTCTTTTCTTTTCTCCCCGTTGTTGTTTGGCAAATGATGATTTCATAGATCATGGTCGTCGTTGTTTTTTACTATATTCGTTAAAGAATGATCAAAAGTACGCAAATAACAGATGAAATTCATATGATTTTTTGTTTGTTTGTTTGTGCTTTTTATTTTCCATCAATTTTCGATCAAAGATGCAATCATCTGTAACAACATCATCATCATCATCATCAGCTGCTTTTTCTTGCAAAAAAAAAATTATTGAAATTTTTTTGTTTTTGTTGCTTCCTATATTTGCTAAAAATAATTTTTCTTTCCCGGTTGTGATCAAGGTAAACAGAAATTTATCAAGATTTTTTTTAAGAAATTTTTAAATTTTTTTAAAATTTTTACCAGTCATCTTTGATGATCACTAGATGTCAGCAGTGGTTCTGTGTATTTTTCAATTTAACCCTTTTCACCCTCATCACTTTATCTCTCATAGCAATACAAACAAAACAAAAATTCTCCCAAAACGCAAAATGTTAAATCCCTTATCAATTTATTAATGGAAAAAAACTAGAATTTTTAATTAATAATTTCTTTTTTGCTTTTGTTGGTGTTGCTGTCTCTATTCATTTATTATGATTACGAATTTTTTTGTTTAATAAAAAAAGAAAAGATTTAGATTTTTGTTTTATCGGATAAACGTTTCAATTCGGCCAATGTTGTTTTTAATGTATCTTTTTCCTGTGCTGGTGTTATACTTTTAGCAACATTATCAATAATCCATTGTACCATATAATTTTGTTGAAATTGTTTTTCAGCTTCTTCTTTTGCAACTAAATAATTAAGACGTCGTCGTACTTCTTGATAGGCTTCCATTTGTCTTCGTCGATATTCAGCTTCTAATTGTAGTTGAACATTTTCACGTTTTGCTTCAAATAAAACTGAATGATGTTTTGGTGCATCACGAACTGATTCTTCTGATTTAATGTAATCATTTAGAAATTGAATCATTCCTTTTTGCCAATCATCCCAGGATTTTGCTGTTGCCTAATTTTTACAAACAAAGATTAATCAATTATGAATTTCTTTAAAAAAATATAAGAAAAACATACATCAACTTCAGCGCCACCTTTATTACGAATAGCTGGTCCAAATGTTTTGGCAGCAAAACCTAAAATAATTGTCGCTTCAATACCGACCAATAATTCATGTTCAAATACTAGCCATTCTTTTGATAGTAAAAATGTTAGAAAACCCCAAAAGAAACAATAAGGACCAGTAACACCGGTTTTTTCATAAAACATTTGAAACCATGATTCAGGTATAATACCCAAACGACATGGTTCAGGAAAATCAGCACGAACAGGTCGAGGAAAATTTACTAAATCACGACGTTCACTTTTTTCATCCAAAATTGTTGGCATATTCGGTCCAAAACGAAGATTAAGAAATTCTTCTAATGATCCATTTTGTTTTGGATCAAATTCTTTTGCTTCAGCTTCATTATCATCAACAATTTCGGGTAATGGCGGTGCTGCACGCATAAATAACATACGATTTGATTGATGATTTTGTAATAACCATGTTGTTCGATATTGGGAATTGTTCAATAATCGAGCTGGAAAAAAAATGATTGGAGAAAAAAGTCAATAAATTTTTTGTTTTTATAAAATGAAAAACAAATTTTACAAACCGGCTTGTAAAAAGTTTCGGACAAGCATCTTTTTCGTTTCTCTTTTCCAAAATTCCTATTCACAACTGAAAACTAAACAAACAAAATACTGATTGTAAATCATAAAATACCGATCGATGATCAATACAAACCTAATGAATTATCATCAAAAAACCAACAATGGAACTATTCAATATTTATAATTTTAGTTGTTTCGATTCAAAGTCACCAGCCAACCAGCCAATAATCATCAACACAACAAATAAAATAATTCGATTTACAAGAGCAAAAAAGACATTGATTACCGTTCAAAGACAACGTAACGAAATTTTTAAGATTATTTCTTTTTAAAATCAACTTTTTTCCCCAAACAAATCTTATCAACCCTTATTCTTTCATGATTGAAAGAATAGAAATTATTGTGCTTGATTATCGACAAAAATCATTAAATTTTAAAAATTTTCGCAAATTAAAATTAATTGGAAAATTAATCAAAATAATCGTCTGAGTTATTTATTTTGTTCGCAGATAGATGGCCTTCAAAGTTAATTTTTGTTTTTTTATGCGCTTGCGTCGGCAAAAAAAGGCTGATCTTCCTTTTTTGCCTGAATATTGCATTTGACAGCGTGTTTCCTGCTTACACGGTGTGCTTTGCTGTATATTCTCACTCACAAGTGTCTCAAACCTCGTTGTGATCGTTTCGTTTCGTTCGTTTTCCAACCAAATTTATTCTGACATAACCCGTAAGTTTGGATTTTGGAAATTCTTTAAAAAAAAAATACCCGAACAATTGTTTCATACCCCTTTTGATCGATCCAACATCGAAGAAACTATTCGTCAATTTTGTTTATTTGTATTTTATTTTGATTCATTTCTGAATCGATTGAATAGAAATGGCGGACGCTGCTCCAGCCGGTGGACAACAACGTGAAGGAGGTGGTGGTCGTGGTGGTTTTCGTGGCGGATTTGGTGGTCGAGGTCGTGGCCGTGGTCGCGGACGTGGACGTGGCAAATCCGATAAAGATGCCCAAAAAGCATGGAATCCTTTGACTAAACTTGGCCGTTTAGTTGTACAGGGACATATTAAATCATTGGAAGAAATTTATCGGTTTTCATTGCCAATCAAAGAAGCTGAAATTATTGATCATTTTATTCGTGGTAATTTAACCGATGATGTTTTGGCTGTAAAACCGGTACAAAAACAAACACGTGCCGGTCAACGTACCCGATTTAAAGCATTTGTTGCTATTGGTGATTCAAATGGTCATGTTGGTTTAGGTGTAAAATGTAGTAAAGAAGTTGCTACAGCTATTCGTGGTGCTATTATTATGGCAAAATTATCCATCATACCTGTACGTCGTGGTTATTGGGGTAATAAAATCGGTGAACCACATACCGTACCTTGTAAGGTAAGAAAAATTATCAATTTTCACATACATCTTGCATGCACACACACATCAATTTTTATTTTAAACCAACGTTCATGGTATCATTGAATCATTGGTTTAGTTTATTGGATCAAATTGATCTTTGATGAACTAAATCAATTGATTTTTAATGACCATGTTTTTAGTCACTTTTGGTCGGACATAATTTAAATATCCCGATTGTCCTGACTTTACGTGTCAACGTTGAATATTAGAAAATCCGACTTCGTTTATTTGTTAATCATTTCGATGGTTTCAATAAACTTGAGGTCTTGATTTTCCGAAGTATATTCCATTAGCTTTTTGTATTGTGATTATAATCACATTGACAATTAAGAAAGACCATACTTCAAACATTTTCTAATCTAATTCTTTTTATATTTACAGGTAACTGGTAAATGTGGATCAGTAACTGTACGTTTGATTCCTGCACCACGTGGAACCGGTATTGTATCGGCACCTGTACCGAAAAAATTATTAACCATGGCTGGTATTAAAGATTGTTATACATCATCACGTGGATCAACATGTACTATGGGCAATTTTGCTAAAGCTACATATTTGGCTATACAAAAAACCTATTCGTATTTGACACCCGATCTATGGCCAGTTTCGGCATTGACTAAATTGCCGTTTCAAGAAACTACCCATTGATAATAAAAAAAATTAAAAAAAAACAATTTTTTGAAATAAATATTTTTTTTTTGAATTTTTCATTTTTTTCGATTTATATCTTTTAAAAAAAAATTACTTTGTATGATAACATTCAATACAATTTAAATCTTTTATCAAATTATTTAAACATTCATAATCAATTTCTTCGTTAGATAATTTTTGATTAATCATAGTAAATGTTGTTGGTGTTTCAATCGATTCCAATTTTGATTGAAATTTTGTCCTGGTCATCGTATGACCACATTTAAAAATTAATAACAATGGATCTTCTTCAATATCGCTAGGAATTTCTATCTCAATCATTGATTGATCTGTTATTGCTGTCATTGTGGCTGGCTGTCGAAGATATTCATCAACAATATTTTGCCATTTTATTTCCAATGGCCATTTTATATGATAATGATGATAATTATCTGATGATGATTGTGCGAATAATTCCTGTAATGTTACAATTGGATCATGATTCCATTCTAATGATTGTCGTATTAATTCATCAGATCGTTCAACAATTTTCATTAATAAATGATCAGTCAATCCTAATCGATAACGAATATTTTGTTTATCTGTTTCATTATTATCATCATTATCATCATCGTCGTTTTCCATTTGTTTAATTAGAATTAATAATAATGGACCAAAATATGGATTTATCATTGATTTGTCGAAAAAAATTTGTTCCAAAATTTGAATAAAATCCATGGAAAAGATCATTTGAAAATCCTTTTGAATTTTATTCCAAAATTGTAAAAAATTGTCCAATAATTTTGCAGTCATTCGACATCGTATCGATTGTGATGATGATGATTGAATTTTATAATTCAAATCAATTTGTTCAATAAAAAATTTTAACAAATGTGAAATTTCTTCAACAAATTTTGAACGTAATATTTCATTATCATTTTTGAATAATAATAATTCTTGTTGAAATGCATCAAATTGATATTTTAACGATTTGATTCGATCATTAGCCAACCATGATACAATCGAACAAAGTTGATATAATTTTAATTGTTCGAATCTATTTCGACAACAATAAAACAAAATTAGTAACAAAAATGACAAAGATTTTTTGATTTACCTTTGTATCAATGATTTAAGATTTAAATCATGACGATAATATAATAAGGTCAGCAGGATTTTTCTTTGTAATTTTTTCAAATCTTTAGACGATTTATCATCATTGCCATCATCGTCATTATCATTCGGTATTTGCCAATCAGTAAAATTATCAAAATCAAATGTACCGGAAAAATTTTGTTGTTCCATAATATCTTTGATTGCGAATAGAATTGATGGTTGCCAACGATTATGTTTTGGTGAATTTGATGTTAAAATCATTTGATTAGATGATGATGATGAATTTAGATTAATGGTTATATGTTTTGATGATTTTGGTGAATCAGTATCATTATCATTATGTGATGATAATGATATTGATAAATCATCACCATCACCCATATTAGTTGATGTTGTTGTTGATGATGATTGTTCAAAAAGTTGTCCATTCGAATTCTGTCCCCAACCCCAAATATTACCATCAAAATCAATGGCTAATGAATGAAATGAACCACAAGCTATATCGATAAAACGATTAGGATTTTGATTATAATCAATATAATCATGGTCATCATCATCATTATCATCAATAAAATTTATCGATATAGGTTGTGCTTCTAATTCGGCTGCCAATATTGTTGATGATGATGATTGTTTCGATAAACCTAATTGTCCATCACGTCCATTACCGAATGCAAATATTGTACCTTGATCGGTTAACAATAATGTATGTGATTGACCGGCAGACATTTTCTGTATACAACAATTATCGGGTAATTTTTTCAAACTTATTTCACGTATTTTTGTATAATCAACAGTTTGATCTCTATAACCACTACCACCAATGGCACCATAACTGTTCATATTACGATTATGTTGATTATTCAATGTTTGACGATCGGCACGCATTTTTAATCGCCATGTTTTTGGATCAATACCCCAACAATAAAGTTTTTCTTTAACAACATCTGATGATGATGAGGATTGATCATGATCGATTGCAATACAAACCGTATGAAATGGACCACAACAAATCATTCGTATTGGACCAGAAATTAATGTAAATCGTTGTGGTAGGAAAAATTTATTACCACTACAACCACCTTCTCCTTCAATACCTAATTGCCCATAACAATTTTGACCAAATAAATATAAATCACCTGTAGTTGTTAAAGCTAGGAAAAAAAATTTCCTTCAATTAATTTCAAAAAACAAAAAATTCAACCAACTTACCAGCTGTATGTGCATATCCGGCAGCAACATCAGCAATCGATACTTTAATAGTATCGAAAAAATATCGAATCAATTTTGGTTCATATTGATCATCAATTGAATTACCATGACCAAGTTGACCATGTAATGACCAACCAAATGAATATAAATGACCATCAATCGATAATAATAATGTATGATATGATCCACATACAATTTTCCAGATTTTTTTACTATCATTATCACCGGTAATATTCTGACCAAATTCCAATAATAATGGATAACGTGTATGTAGAATCTGTGATCCTAAACCAAGCTGTCCAAATGTTGATGAACCAATTGCATATATACCATTATCAGTTAAAATCATTAAATGTTGATAACCAATCGATATTGAACGTATTGGATCATTGATTAATGATGAAAAATAACGATTACATTGTGGTTTTGTTAAACGATTTGTTTGTATTGATTGTAATGGTATTCGACATTCTGCTGTTGTTGATGATGATGGTGGTTGTTGATTATGATCATCGAATGAAAATATTTGCTCTAATCGTTCAGAATTCATAAACGTATAATCAAAACGACCCCATAAACAATATTGTCGATAATCAAATATTAATGAACAATGTGTACCGGCTACAATATGATTTTCAAAATAATTTTTCAAATCAATAATTTCATTTGATAATAATTTTTGTTTTTGTTCATATTTTTGATAATGTTTATCAAGATTTTTCTGATAAATTTCTAAATGTTTTGGTAACCAATCGATAACTGTTTCAGCGAATGACCAATCATATTGTGATGATGATGATTTATTTGTAATCATCATTTTTTGTAAACATAATGATTGTAAAAATATTTCCATATTTAATAAATCACGTCTTTTAATTGGTAATAAACTTTTACGTAATTTTCCCGTACTAGTTATTAGACTTGATTCCGAATCTGATATTGATTCATTTGATTTTTCTATTGAATCTTCAACTCGATCATGTTGATGTTCATCATCATCATTATAATCATGTTTATCATTACAAAGATATGTTTGATTACAATAAAATAATGTTTGATTAATTAATAATCGTACTGATAATCTTTTTGGATCAAATATCCATGCTAAACGTAATAAATATCTTAATGATAATTTTGGTAATTGATTAAATAAAAATTGTAAATATTGTTCGATAAGATGAATAGAACGACATTTACCAATTCGTTGTTGATGATCATAATGAATAAATTCTGTACTAAGAATCAATGAATATGTAACATGTTTAGATGTTAATAATCGTATTATATGACGATGACGACGACGACGATTAGAATCTAATGAATGCGGTTGTTGATCATCAACAATCATTGCGCATTTATATTGTAGAATAAAATAAATTAGATAAAGATAATCACCATGTAATTGTGCTAAATATTCACTCATTTCAAATAAATCCAATTGAATCAATCGATATAATATTAATTGATGATTATAATATTGACGATATTCATAAAAATAATCATATAAATTTTGAATGGATAATGATTTTTCTTCATTATTCGATTGATTTTGATGATAAAATTGATAAATAGCCAATAATGATTCAAATAATTGCCATGAAAGATAATTACGTTCATCATCATTTAATTCGAATAAAATTTTTGTATGAAAAAATTTTCGTAATTGCCAAATTGAATATGACCAAAAACCAAAATGATTTAATGCTGTTATAACACGACGTCTTGGACAACGACATAATTCTAATAAACGAAAAATTTGATTCAAACGATTTTGAATCCATTTTTGAAGATTCGAATCGATTGTATCGATATTCGATACAATCGATATTATTCGTTGTCGATCAATATCCGATAAACATCTTAATTGTTCATTATCATTGAATATTTGTTTCATCAATAATAATGCTGAACGACATAACCATAATTGCCATGATTGACTTGGCATCATTATCATTGATGATATTGTTGTTGGATGATATGATGATGACGATAAAGATGATAATGATGGTGAATCGGTTGATGAATATGATGAACTTGTTCGATATAAACTTGAACGATTCGAATGTATCGATGATGATGATGTTGTTGATGATGGACTAAAACAATCGACCAAAAATTTTGCTCGATTTATTAGATCACCATCTTGATAGCATCCATTTTCTTGATCTTGAATTAAAAATGATAAAATTTCTGTATGAAATATATGACCAAATGATTTTTCTTTTGATTCGATTATAAAAACAGATTGTTTTGTAACAACAATAAATTCTTCATCCAATTGATTGGTACCCTGTTCCAATTCATCCGATGAAAGCAGATCAATTAGATAATGTTCTTGATGATCAAATTGTTGTTGTTGTTGATCACCATCGAATTTTTGATAAGAAAATTTTTCAGCCGTTGTTGCTGTTGATAATAATTTTGATTGAAGATAATCACGTATGTTTATACCATTTTGATATTGATTAGTAACAAAAACATCGATTATTTCATTTGAATCATGTTGATCATCAAAACGAAATTCAGCAATTATCGAACAATTTGATTGTGATAAATTAGATAGATTTGACATTGATGTTGATAATGATGGTGTACCAGGTGAATGATTTGATGGTGATTTTCGACGAAATGATCCACCAAAACGATTAATTGAAGATGATGTACCAGGTGTTGAAATATGACGTGGTGATGATCTTCGATGTCCACTTGAATCACTACGTTTTAATAATAATGGTGATCTTGGTGAACCGGTTACAGTTTGATTACCACCGCCACCGCTACCGATAATACGATTACCGGATTTATTTGTTTGTTCGGAAAATGTTTTCGATATCAAACATAAACGTGAAGGAAATACGAGCAATAAAAATCGATAGGAACAATCGATTAATCGTATCAAATTCGATTCATTCGAATTCGAATCATTATCATGATGGTGATGATGATTATCATTATCCGAAATTGTTAATGAAATTGAAAATAATCTTGATGAATTTAAATTGAAAAAATTTTTTGTACAAAATTTTTGCCATGAATATTCATATAATTCAAATATAATTTGATCAGTATATAATGATATATTACAAAAATCATTATCCAAATGTTTATCATTATTATTATTGTTTTTGTAAATTTTGGAAGACTTTTTTGAAATAATAAGAAAATCTTGTTGTATTGTTTGTGAATCATCGGATGAATCGGCTTCATTACCACTGACATTATCAGTTGTTGTTGTTGTTGAACTATTAAATGAATGATTCGATGATGATGATAATGAATTTGTTTGCTGTAATTTTAATTTGGCACAATTTTGATATTTAACAACATAGATATTGTTGTTGGCATTTGTTGAATTTTTTATCATTAAATTCTGTGATGGATAAATTGCCCATTTAACATTTGATTGTTGCGTTTGATGTGGATGCGAATGCGAATGATGTGGATGATGACTAGCAGCCGATGTCGACATTAATGGTACAAATAAATCATCATTAGTGAATGAAAATATATCATCAGCGATGGTGGTAGATTTATTATTAATAAAATCAATCGATGATGATTGATCTTGATTGAATTGAATCAATTGTGGTCGTAATGTTGTTGTTGATATCAAAGAATTATTACCATTATCATCATGGTCATCCATCGGTACAATATTATCTTGATTGATTTGATTCAATAAAGCCAATTCAGCATTATCATCATTATCAATGGATAAATTCAATAAACAAGTTAAATAATAATTATTAAAATCGGAAAATTTTCCAGAATTTTGACTTGTTGTTGTTGTTTTAGATTCTTTCGATGTAAATGATTGAAATAATTCGGATAATTTTGATAAAGGTGATGATGTTGAAATAGATGTTTTTGTTGTTAAACATGGTTCGATTTTTGTTGTTGTTGTTATTGATGATTGTTGTTGTTGTTGATTTGTACAACGAAATTCTTCCAATATTAATTGATATTGTTGTCCTTGTTCACTGGTTATCAATAATGAACGATTATACATTTCATCATAAATTTTTAATGAACGAATTGGTTCTGAAATGGAACAACGATTAAATTCTTGATCCAAATCCAAATCAATCATTGATATTTGTCCGGATTTTGTACCAATCAATGCAATTGATAAACGTTGTTTTACATAATGTTTATTACGTTGCCACCAAACAATCGATGTTGGTTGTTGAATTGTTTTACGACAATTCATACGTAGACTAGCATCATTTTCAATCACAGTACGATAATGATTGATTATTGGATCATAATATGAAATAAAATTAAATGGTATCACATAGATTATTGATTTATTTGTAATGGCTAATAATTGTTGACCATTTTGATTGAAACACATTGATACAATTGAACCTTTATCCGGATCAATTGGTATAATCCAATGTTGCCATTTTTTCTGACCATCACCATTATTATTATTATTGTTTGTTTGTTCAACGATGAAATTGTCAAACAAACCATATTGAAACAAATGTAATCGATAATCACTTGTATAAAGAACAAAATTACGTTCCGAATGTATTCGATGATAATTCGAATGATGACCATCATCAAATTCATTTTCTGAATCAATTTTATTACCATCATCATCATTTTCATCATTATTATCATCATCATCAATATGAACATTAGAAAATGTAGCCAATTCGATTATGGTTGATTGATTTAATGATTCATCATCATCATTATTATTATCATTAATATCGTTCGATATTAATTGAAAAAATTGTCGTTTTTGAAATAAATCCATAATGATGTTGATGTTGTTGCTGATAATTGCTGTTTGATATTGGCCATCGATTTGATTTGTTTTGTTTGTTTCAGCAAAAAAAAGAAGAACCGAACAAATTCAAAATAAATTATATCACAAAATTTGAAATTTTAATTAACGATTATGGATCATCGATCCACAATAGGTCGAGGACACTTTCAAACACACAAACATAAACATAAACATCGAACGAACATTGGCTATATAATATGATAACGTAGTTGATGAACGGTACATTTCGAACTTTGATTTTGGGATTTTTTTTTTTTGTTTTGATTTTTTCGATTTTGTTTTTTTCGGTACACCAAAGATGGATAGTGGTTTATCAAAATTTGTTGATAATGGAAAACGTGACAACAACGACGACGACGATGATGATGATTATATGTCAGATAAATTTGTTGTTGAAAATAAAGATTCGAGGTAAACACAATGTTGTTGATGTTTTTGTTGATGATTTTTGATGATTCATTTTTCTTTCTTTTGATTATTTCACTTAGCCAAACATCATTATTACATAGCCATAAACAAAAATATGAACATGAACGATATAAACGACGTATAGAATGTCAACCAAAATCCAAACAAACAATAAAAGAAATGGAAGAAGAAAAAAGACAAGCCGGTTTATCTAAACCATTATTAGATCCAATGAATAAAGGTTTTTGTTTATTACAGAAAATGATGAATAATGATAATAAAAAAGTTGAAGAATCTTTGGAAACTAAACAGTCGTCATCACAGCCGGATTTATCAGATGAAAAATCAAATAAAAGAAAAACAGTTGAAGAATTAGTTATGGAACGACGGCCAATTGATATTGAATTTCGTATTGGTCGACAAGGTTTAGGACATGAATCAAATAAACGTATTAAATCGAAAGATTCAAATCGATCGTTGATGATGGCTAAAAAAGAAAAAAATCTTGAAATTAAAAAGGATAAATTTCTACGTGATTGTTTGGAAAAATCGGAAAAATTATTAGCAAAAAAAGATTATTTTTCATTACAAAAAATTTGTTATAATTTGGATCAATCGAATAATATTCGGGAACCATCAATAGAAGAATGGTATTGGCCAAAATCATTTTTGATTGCATTGCGAGCAGCAAGAAAAAACATTGAATCCGATGAAGATGATGATGAAGAAGAAAATGATGATTTGAAACAAGAAAATCAAGATGATGATGACGAAGATGATGATAATATTGATTATCAAGAAAGATTACAAAAACTTTCTGAATATGTTCGACAAAAATATTTTTATTGTTTATGGTGTGGTTGTTGTTTTGAATCGAATAATGATTTAAATGATAATTGTCCGGGTAATAATCGTCAATTACATTGAATTTTGGTTATTTTTTGTATTTGATTTTCATTCAATTCATATAATTTCCTTATTAATTGTATATTTACTTTTTATAAGTCCATCTCTTATAATAATAATAATAATTCAAATGGTTCAATACGATATATAAATACAACCGTTATTATAAATGATATTAAAATAAAAACAATTATTGTGAATATTATTATTGTTGTTAATAATAATGATTGTTCACCATCAATCAATTCATCTGTTCCATCATCATCATCATCATCATCATCATCATCATCATCATCATCATCAAAACCTAATGGTTTTTTATCATTTTTATAGATGAATGGATCTTTTATCAATTGAAATTGATTTTTAT